TTACTACGTTCTTTAATTTTTATTCATGACTATACATTCATACGTGTCGCTAGCTTAGTATAGAAGGAGCATTTCTGATATTTTTGTTTTTCTAAGTGATCCTAATAGTTGCATAAAAAATTAAGTTTTATTTAGGGGTTCAAGCAACTTATGTGAATTACATTTAGGATTATTAGGGAAGGAATCTAAACAAAATCTATTTTGAGACGCAATGATTTAGGCATTTGCTCCTAATCTTCATGATTCTATCTATACAAATAAACTATTCGGCTGCTTTAAAAAAAAATCTATCTGTATCTAACAGCGAAACCGCGGCTGACATTGTCTCTTACTGTCAAGATTTCATAGTGAAAAATAAATAAATTTGGCATACGAAAATCTGGTAAAATTATATATATACATATATTATAAGTATATATCGTCGATTATTTGACCGACAACGTTACATTCGTACTAATTATACGCGAGCGCACTTGTGCACAAGGGTATTATAACTTTGTTCACATAACGGTTGTTTGTAACAGGCAAAACGAATCGAGATAGATATAGACAAATGTATACATAAATGATCAGAATGAAAAGAGAAATCGATTAAGCGGTGACTGTCTGTCCGTCCGTCCGTCCGTCCGTCTGTCCGTCTGTGCACACGATAACTCGAGTAAACATTAAGATATCTTAACGAAACTTGGTACGTATACTTACTTAGGCCGTAGGACGGATGGTGTTGAAAATGGGCAAAATCGGACAATAACCACGCCTACCTCCCATATAACGGTAATTTTCAGAAATACGAAAACTGCGATATTTTAGTAACTACTGAAGATTATTCACTCAAAATTGGTATTTACAATAACTTTTAGACGAAAAATAAGAATATTATACATTTTTGGAAAATGGGCGTAGCCACGCCCACTTATGGATACATGTGTATATCTTGGTAACCGCTGCACCAATTTCTTCCAAACTTGGCACAGTTGTTAGTCTTGCTACAGCATACCAAATAGCCGAAAATTTTTAAAATCGGACAATAACCACGCCTACCACCCATATAACGGTAATTTGGAGAAATGCGAAATCTTCGATAAATCAATAAATATTAAAGCTAATTTATTCAAAATTAATTCTTGCAACAATTCTCTGCCAAGAAATACGTTTATGATAAAATTTTGGAAAATGGGCGTGACACCGCCCACTTATGATCACATATATGTATATCGGTAGCCGTTCTACCAATTTGTACCAAACTCGGTATGATTATTGTGCTTGCCGCATAGAAGCAAACCGTTGAAAATTATTGGAATCAGATTAAAATTACGACCACTTATCATATAACGGCAAATTTCAGAAATGCTTGAAACTTCAATATTTCGAAATTTAAGGACGCTAATTTACTCAGAATAGATACACACCGGCTTACCATGTAGCGGTAGCTTTCGGAAAGGTGAAAATCATATATTTAACACTTGCGCCGGGTATTTAATGTTCGGCTCCGCCCGAACTTAGACTTTCTTACTTGTTTTAGCTATGAATGTACATATGTATTTGTTTGCCACATATGATTCGATTCGAAATTAGTACTAATTTAAAATCCAAATTCAGAACTATTGATTTTAGAATATTTTACAAAGTGGGGTCAAAATCATGCATTTTACAATGAAATTATTCGGCAAATTTTTCGGAAAATTCCTGTTTTTGATGAAAAATATATTTTGTTGAATTACGTGTAAAAAATTCTTACCAATTGATACGCCGGCCGTTACTTGAGCGTAAGTGAAATGCGATCATTTTTTTATTTTTTTTTTTATTTGGTTACGACCCGGTAGGTGGGAATCTTCATAGATGCAAGCAGTCCATACTAATTGATTGCCCGATTCGCCTCCTGGGACCTACGGACTAAACCCAACCTCCTATGAACGCTGCGCCTGTGGCACCCCGCGGGACTATCAATTCCGATATTTCTTCGCTGGGAAAGTGCTGGACGTTATTCTGAGTCGTCACTCAACGTGCGTTTTCGCGTCGCGCTGTTTATTCATCATGCCTCAGACTCTTCATTACATTAGTGAGGATATCCGCGCATTCGTTCCATATGTCTTCTTTAGACAACATCGCCTTCAACAGGCCTTTGGGGGACACTGCGCTCCCTACACACCGTTCGAGCTAGTGGCGTTCGTCTTCGAAACTGTGGCAGTCCATAAGGATGTACTCAGAATTTTCGTATTTACCATCGCACTAAAGACAATATGGATGGTCAGCATGTGTTTACTTGTGTAGATAATGTCGGATGCAGCCATGCCCGGTGAGGAACTGCGGAAGGTAGAAATTAGTTTCTCCGTGCTTTCTCTCGATCCATTCGCTTACCGTTGGAATCAACTTCTACGTCCAACGCCCTTTCGTAATCGCGTCCCAACTTTGTTGCCACTTGTTGATGCACCGTTGTAACGCCTCTCTCCGGTTTATTGGACTGCGCTTGCTTTCTGCCGCGGCTTTTGCCGCTATGTCTAATGGGCATCTACCGGCCAGCAAATTTCCGGCTTCGTCTGATACTGTCACGAACGCACAGCATACCCTTAGTGACGGTAGTCTATGCACTGAGGCTGGTGCTCTTATATATGATGGTACGGATGCAGCAGCTGCCCATATTGGTGCCGCATACATCAGAATGAGCGAACTGACGCTCGTGAGCTGTATTTTTCGTTGTTGTCTCGGGCCTCCCATGTTAGGCATGATTCTTGCCAAAGCTGTTCTGACTTTCCTTGCCTTCTCACTGGCATATTTCAAGTACGACTCCGAGGTACTTTATGGTTGGGCTTGAGTTTATGGTGCAGCCACCTACTCGTATTTCGATTTCTTCAACAACCCTTTTCCTGCCGGTCAACAGCCTATGTTTTGTGATCCGCCAACTCCAATCCAGCTGTTGGCAGCCACGTTTTCAAGGACGCCATGGTTTCACTGCACATGCGCGACACGTCCACAAGATGCTTTGCCACCACAACAATCGGTATGTCATCTACATAACCCACAATGGACACACCTTCCGATTTTATCATTTTGGAGATGTCATCATACATGATATTCCACAGGAGTGGTCCAAGAACCGACCCTTGGGGCACACCGCCTGTAATAGAATACTTTTTTGGACCTTTGTTGGTGTCGTAGTAGAGCACGCTTGTGCTGAAATAACTGGATATTATTCTTGTTAAGTAATCCGGGATGTTAATTTTTATCATTGCTTCTATTATTTGGCCCCAGTTGGCAGAGTTGAACGCATTTTTTACATCCAGCGTGATTACAGCGCTTTACTGCTTAGTACCTTCTAACCATC